CCTTGGTTATGGTGAAGATGAGTTTGGCTGCCGCATATGGAAGATGAAAACAAAAAGATAATTCGCAGCAGAGATGTCATCTTTAATGAAAGAAATATGTACAAGGGCCGACACAACACAAGTGCCAGCAACTCAGAAGCAAGTGGGCCAGATCAGAGCCGGGTCTAGCATTTTTTAGGCCCTGGGCCAAATGTAAAAATAATGCCCCTCCTTTTCGTTCAATACTGAAAGTTTTTAGATTTAAACCATTACTTTGTTTATCTCATACATTGAGTAACTTTGGATGAATTAATAAGAAAAAAAAATTGCCCCTCATTTTTGTTTATTTCAATGTGACAAGCTAATAAATCAAATAAATAAGTTAGAAACAAATTTATATGAACCTAAATCATAAGTACAAACACCATTATTTACAAAATTATATAATTATGTGTAAGTTGAATGTCACACTTGTATAAATCATTATAATTTTGTGGAGAAAATTAACTCTCCTTTATTTTAATGTAATTTTATTTAATAACAATTCATATTCATATTATTTTAAACTTTGTTACTTAATTAAATAATTTTTTATTCCATGAATTGTAATTTTGTAGAATAGACAGTGATTATAATTAATACATAAACGATAAAGATACACAAAAAAGAAAAGAATCTAATAGGAATAGAAGAAAGATGAGTTGGTAGGTTCTCATCTAGAATTTCATAAAGTTTTGTTATTTTCATTATTGTGCACTTATTTTTTTTATTTTATTTTTTTTGCAATTAATGCTTGTGGAAGACCGATCTAAGTATTGATTTAGTTGCCTTGGGTTATTTGGGAGAAAATGGAGGATTATATCTATAATTAGGCCCATCATATATTGGCCTGGATTGCATCACAATCATCTCCATCTCATAGGCAATATTACTGTTTGTATTATTAATCGGGCAAAATGTTTGTCCCATTTTTGTTGCGTCTGTCATGTCCGTTTTACCTTTCTTTCTCCCCCAATTTTATGTTTTTTCTCTTAGTTTTGGTCCATTTTGTTTCATAGGCAAGATTAGGCCCATCATATATTGGGCCGGATTGCATCACAATCATTTCCATCTCATAGGCAATATTACTGTTTGTATTATTAATCGGGCAAAATGTTTGTCCCATTTTTGTTACGTTTTTCGTGTTCGTTTTACCTTTCTTTTTCCCCCATTTTATGTTTTTCTCTTAGTTTTGGTTCGTTTTGTTTCTTGTCGCGTGTTTTCTTTTATTTAGAGTCCTTTATGTGTTTTCTCGGTTATTTTCTTTGTTTTCTCCGTTTTCGTTTTCGTCTTTTGGTGTACATGTTGGAAGATTCGAGAGGATTTATTTCTCATGGTCAATGGACCGGACGAACATCATTAAATAGAGCGTCTCGTTGGCAATACACAGAAAAAAAAAACGAAATCAAATTCTGTTTCCAAACGAGCTCGCACGAACCCGAAAAGCAAAGTCGGATAAGTAGTCACAGGCTCGCTTAGGCCTTCGAACGTGAACAACATTTACGCTGCGCCATCTTTCACGCTGCGGTCTGCAGGACTCCCGCGCCACTACACCACGCCGCGACAGACATTTTCACCGCGCCGCGAGCCTCCTTCACGCCGCGACGTCCTCGTCCAAAACATCAACGTCGCGCCGTGATTTAACCTCCGCACCGTGAAGCATGGGACCTCCGCACCATGCTGCCAGTGCCGCTCTGCCGCACAGACTTCTATCTGCGCTGCGTCAGTTACTTCACGCCGTGTTGCGCCCAATTTTCTCCTCCGCGGACGGGACTTCTCCTTTACCGCGGCCGCGATGAATAAGAGGCCCCAGTGTCCCCATTTCAGAGCAAGGATTTTTGCAGCCTCGGAGGATCTCTCGACCGCGGAGCTCTTTTTCACCGCAGCCCGCAGACCTCTCCGCGGCTGCGACCCGCCCGATAGCAGATTTTTAAAATCAGATTTTGTGAGCGATTTTCATTAGTTTTTTTACCTAGGTTATAAGCTCTCTCGTTCTTTTCCTTCAAAACTCTTTCCTTCTTTCTCTTTTGATTTTTTTTCGACGTAGAACAAGGATTTGATCTCGGATTTGCTATTGCTTTTGGATTCAAGCTTGTCTATGGAATTCGACTTTCGGATTTATTAATCGTAAGATTTTCTTTTCATTTAATTGATGAATATGGATTCTTTGATTGTGATAATTATGATTGTTGATTCGATTATGAGTAGCTAAATTAAAACACTAGGAAATAGAGAATTGATATTTTGAATTTGTTTGCGATTATCATGTTCGTGATTGTTTAATTTATACGAGTCGCTCTTTTTCTAGAATTTTTCAATTGTCAGCTTGAGTTTTGAGAATTGTTGAAGGGTGACACTTCAATGTCCAATTATTTTAATTGAATTCATTTAATTCGTGCATGATTTTGAAAATTCTAAACGGCTAGTTGATTCACCACCTTCTAGTCTTCTTTAATCGACTCTTTGAACTGAAAGGGGAGGAGTCGGTGGAAACATGCTCGTATAAACTAAGCTTGTTCGTAATTGTATTGCCTAGGTGTTAAATGGCTTGTTAACTTGTCGTTTAAGTTTGTTCTCTTGTTACGAAGAGTTATTGAGAATGAGTAGTTGAACGAGCCGGTTATGCAAACCACTTAACCGAACAATCTATGGCTTGATAATTGCATTTTCGAACCAAAACGGATATCCCTGACTCCCTAGCTTCTTAAATCTTGATTGTTCTGCGTTGTTGATTGCTATTTTTACTGCTTTATTTGAATTCTCGTACTAGTTGATAATTAAAACCAATCACAATCATCTGAATTAGTATGTTTAGGTACTTTATTTCTTTTTGTGTGATTGAATAAACGTGCTTAATATTCCGGATGACCTTCCTCGAGAAACACGACCCGATGTCCGAATCGTTCGAATCTACTCCAGAAAAATATTTACAACACAAAACAAAGGCCCCAAAAATGGTGCCCCTTCGAAATGGGCCCTGGGCCAGGGCCGGACCTAGGGCCAATTTATGCAGAGGTGAAAGATATTCGAGACATTCTTACAATAAGGAATACTTGGTCAGAAGAATAAAATGAAGAAAGCAATGAGCAATCAGAACCTTCTACTCTAACTATTGTATTCAAAAGGTCCTCTAGGCCTCATATGCCTAACAGGAGATACATGGACTACATGTTGTTGACTGATGGGGGAGAACCTGAAGATTACATAGAGGCTTGTCAAACCACAGATGCTAGCAAGTGAGAGCTTGCCATGAAGGATGAGATAAAGTCTTTGATCTTAAATCAGACATGGGAACTAGTTAAGTTACTTGCGGAAAAGAACGCACGTCACAACAAATGGGTGTATCGGGTGAAGAAAGGCCATGATGGTTCCAAGAGATAAAAGCCTGACTGGTTGTCAAAGGGTTTCAGCAGAATGAAGGAGTCGACTATGCTAAAATCTTTGCTCCAGTTGTGAAGCTCAATACTATTAGGACTGTGTTAAGTATTGTGGCTAATGAAGAGCTCTACCTAGAACAATTAGACGTGAAGACTACATTTCTTCACGAAGACCTAGATGAGGAGATCTATATGCACCAGTCTGAAGGTTTTTCAGAAGAAAAGAAAGATATGGTGTGCAAATTGAAGAAGAGCTTGTACGACCTGAAACAAGCTCCAAGACAGTGGTATATAGGATGTTTGAAAGCTTCATGCAGAAGGAAGGTTTCTAAAAGTGCAATGTTGATCACTATTGTTTGTTTAAGAAGTATGAGTCCAGCTATATCATCTTGCTACTTTATGTTGATGACATGTTAGTAGCGGGATCAAATTGAAAGACATCGAAAGTTAAAAGATGCATTTGCCAAAAGAATTTGACATGAGCACTTACTTTGGCCCAGGAAAGAAGATTCTTGGAATGCAAATCACGAGAGATAAGAAAAAAAGGAGTTTTGCAGTTATCTCATGAATAGTACATTGACCGTGTTTTGCAGAGTTTTAACATGGATAAGGCTAAGACAGTCAGTACACCTTTGGCCAACCATTTTCGCCTATCCAAGAATCAGTCTCCTCAAACAAAAAAAGAAGAAGAGTTCATGGCTAAGATTCCTTGCTTCAGCCATTGGAAGTTTGATGTACGAGATGGTCTGTATGAGGCCACACATTGGCCATGCAGTGGGAGTTGTTAGCAAGTTTATGTCAAATACCGGAAAAGCTCATTGGGAATCAGTCAAATAGATCTTGAGATATCTATGAGGCACAACAAAAAATTGTTTGTATTTTAGAAAAGGATATTTAAAATTACAGGGTTACGTAGATGTAGATGTAGATGCAGTCTTCGGAGGTGAATTTGATCATCGGAGAAGCACCACCGGTTATGTTTTCACTGTAGGAGCTACAACTGTTAGTTAGATGTCGCGGATACAAAAGATTTTTGCTTTATTCACTACAGAGACTGAGTATGTAGCAGTAACAGAAGCCAGTAAAGAATAGATATTGCTTCAAGGATTGTTAGCAGATATGGGATTCTCTAAAGAAAGGAGTGTCTTCCATAATGATAGTGAGAGTGCAATACATCAGGCAAAGAATACAACACTTCACTCGAGAACTAACCATATTGATATACGCTATCATTTCATCAGATCTCTGCTTGAGGATGAAGTGTTGATATTGAAGAAGATTGTAGGAAGAAAGAACCCAACAGATATACTAACGAATGTGGTAAACATTGACAAACTTAGGTTGTGCTCAACTTCAGTTGACTTGCTAGTATAACATACCGGAGAAGACTACTGCGGTAATTGAGATGTGAGGACAAATTGAAATCAGTACTCAAGTGGGAGATTGTTGAGTTCAGTCAAAAAAAGAGTTAATGCATTTGATACATTTGTTGCTTGAACATTGTGAAGGACTGAACATTGTGAAGGACATTTAATTTTGGCCACTGAACATGTGAAGGCATTCAATTATGGCTGTTGAACGTGTGCAACATTTGTGAACAAATTGATGCATTACTCAGCTATAAATAGAAACAAAGGTGCAGAGAAGAGAAAAATACACACCAAGAACTATCACCAAAAAGAGAGAAAAGAAAGAGAAAAAGTGTGTGAGCTAGAAACAGGAACTTTAACTTTCGTGTGTATTTGAGTTGTGGATTGTGAGTGAGTTTGAGAGTTTTGTTAACACAAATATATTTCTTTTCTCTTAATAAAATATTTGCCGTAATTGTGAGACGTATGCATTATTGATCCAACTCATTATCTATTTTGCGTGTCCCAATTTTTACTTTTTATTAAAAGATCGACTTAATGAAAATTGAGCGTATTTTTTCCATCATTATCGTAAGGGGTCGAGCAAATCCCGTTTAGTTGTCTGGGATTCAAAGACTTCGCTGAAAAAAGTCTCTCGCAGGTCTGAAATTGCGTATCTTCTTAACACATGGCCGATTAATTTGCAGGCTTGTTCTTGGATTTATGAATTTGATTTTTTTTTTTCCGAAATAAATTTTGCAGAATATGGATTGCGGTATATTGTTTTAGCTAGCATATGAGCAATTGTGTGTTCGAGTAGTCGAATGATCGTGTAGCTGATGTTTTCTTTTCCTGAATATGAAGCGTTCTTAGGATTTATAGCTATTTGGAAACTGAAGTTGCTTACTTTAGATAACCCTAATTTTAGCTAATATTTTATCTCCTTTTGTTTTTACATTAACGTTGGTGTTTTAGGGTTGTGAATTCTCAGTGGATTGGGTATTTTCTAGGCAATGAAAATTCGTATTCAATCATGCTTGGGCGAACCTGCTCATATGACAACGGGGTTCATTTTCATTTGTAGATTATAATGCAGGTTTTAATAAAGTAACTTGCCTCGATTATCAATCTTGCTAATGATTGGTGTTAATTTTTGTTATCATCAGGGATTTGAGATGTCGACTCCAGCTCGGAAGAGGCTGATGAGAGACTTCAGGAGGCTGCAGCAGGACCCACCTGCAGGCATCAGTGGCGCCCCACAAGACAATAATATTATGCTGTGGAATGCGGTTATATTCGGGTGAGCAATCTTCGGTTTACTAGTAAAAAGATTGGGTTTGCTAATTTAATGAATTTCGACGGATTGTTTTGTCGTTTTTTTTTGTAAAATATTTTTTGTATATTGTTGAGTAAGACGTCTTATGTATTCTATCTTTCTTGTCTAATGTGGATTTCAGTCCAGATGATACACCTTGGGATGGAGGTGAGTTAATCTAGTCCTCACTGATATTTAGCAAACATAATTTCTTTCTTTCATTCATTCTTATTTTTGAGCCACGCTTGCTCACTTTAGTTTTGTTTTCATATATGTATCTATCTCGCAATTTTACTTTTCTTCATTATAATTATTTTGTAGTTTGCTTGTTGTACCATTGCTTGTGAGATTCAATATTTGTGCTTTTCCATTTGCGTCATATATCAAGAAATTATTGCTTATGCTGTATGTTTCTGATCTTTGGAGATGGCTGGCAACTGAATTTATTTTGTGTTGTTTAGTTGATTTATAACTTTAACTACGGTAATTGTCTGTATTTAAAAATATGTTCGGCAGCACAAATTATCCATCTCCTTGGAACACTTTGATATATTCGAGCATAATGTGAAAGAGTTGACACCATGCCTTTTTTTTTGTCCTTATTTAGTTTCGTTTAGTTCCTTGTAAAAGCCCCATGCTCTTGCCTGCTCTGAAATATTTTATTGGTCATTCTTGTGTAATAGTACTGTGAATGTATGTGGCAACCACATTATAGAACCAAGACCAATTTAGAAATTTTTCTGAAGATTTTGTAGTCTGCTTCCCTTATTTTGACATCTATTCATAAATCACATGATAGTGCAGGTTACCTTGTGCTGGTTTGTGTATGATGTGCCTTGCCCAATGGACTAGCATTGGAAATTTATGTTGTTTGTTGAAGTTCATCTGTCATTGAATTGTGCATTATATCTTGTGTACTTAAATTCTGAGTGTTGCATCGCGTTTCGTTTGTGATGATACGGGTCGATTGGAACCTCATGCCTTGCCCTTTGAGTTTAATAGGTACGTTCAAACTGACACTCCAGTTCACAGAAGATTATCCAAACAAGCCACCTACTGTTCGGTTTGTTTCTCGGATGTTCCACCCTAATAGTAAGACTATGGCATTAAAAAAATCAGTTTGTTGATTCTTTTAGCTTAATGTTAAATCTCATTTTGAATTTTATCTTGGAATCAGTTTATGCAGATGGAAGTATTTGTTTGGACATCTTACAGAATCAGTGGAGCCCTATATACGATGCTGCTGCTATACTTACATCTATCCAGGTACACGAGTTATCTTTCAGAAAACTGTGATTAATGTTTTTCATTTTAATATTAATAAACAAACATAGAGTGTTGATAAATATATTGACATTTTTGTGTTGCCTAAAGTCATGGGTCTTTGTTTTATGTAGACTGGGGTAAATTGCTACATTTGGTGTGCATGGCCTTCCTTTAGGCCTTATATGGTTGAGGTTATAATTCGTATCTCTGTCGGCAGACGAACTGTGATTCCGAGACTTTTTAAATAACTTTAGAAAATTGACAACTTAATCTTATACTGGTACCTTTTGATCTGATTATTCTTAATGCTAAGGAAGTACTACTGGAAAAAATGGTTATTCTTATTGCTAAGGAAGTACAATTGGAATAAATGGTTACCCTTGACAACGTCTAAATTTTAATATTTCTTTCTTTATGGTTAAATACAGGCCTTGTTTGGTAATCAGCTGTTAGCTGTTAGCTGTTAGCGGATTGTTATAGCTGTTTTGACCAGCGGATTGTGTTAGCTGTTTTGACCAGCGGTTAGTTTTAGCGGTTAGTTTTAGCGGTTCTGCAAAATGTTGTTTGGTAAAATTAGCGGATTGATTTTGAAAAATTATATGTGGCATTATTAATTTGATAAAACAGTTTGTATAAATGACGATAAAAAATAAATTAGATATGATTAAGTAATTTTAATTAATTTTTCATATTTATAAAAAAAAAAAATCAACATAAAAAATAACTGATTAAAATATTAAAGGTAGAAAATGTAAATTGTATTAAATATTAATTTGATATCTGAACAACAAATACAAAAAGAAAAAGCTGTAGAGAAAAACCAATTAAAAGTTCAAGAAAAAAAACTTAACAACTGTATATGCTTGCGGTAATAAATACTTAATTAAGAATTTAAGAAGCAGTGAAAAGCTAGTAGAAAACGCTGCTTTCTCTAGCGTTTCAATTTTTTGGCTTTTTCACAAAAAAAGCTGAAAGAAAAAGCCAACCAACCAAACAACATTTTAACCTTATTTTGGCGTTTCAGAATGGTCAAAACAGCTAAAACAGCGATTTGGCCAAAAACGCCAAATTATGTTCCAGTTATCTTGATGATCAGAATCACATGTTATCTTCCATATGTTACTAACTCTGGTTCATTTACGTCAAATTTAAAATTATGTTATCTTCCATATATTACTCACTCTGGTTCATTTACGTCAAAATTTAAAGTACAACCACATGTTTATAACATTTATTAGTCGGAACAAATTTTGGAAACGTGTGAAAAATGAAGCGTTTGAAGTAAATTTCATGGTGGTGATTTCTCTCTAGTGTTTATTTATAAAAATGTTATTTATTTATAAAAATGTTATTAAGAAGAAAGATAATCTTTATATATGTTCTTTCTAGTTTTATTCACGAAATTGCTTTTCAGAAAAAGAAAAAACTGATGTTTACATTTTATTACTGTTGAAGTCGTTGTTGTGCGACCCAAATCCGAATTCTCCCGCGAATTCCGAAGCTGCTCGTTTGTTCAGTGAGAACAAAAAAGAGTATAATCGCCGGGTGAGAGATATTGTGGAGCAAAGCTGGACCGCAGACTAATCCATATGGATCATGGGCACTGTGTGTTCATCCTCTTATCTTACACTCCAAAAAAGTTGCTTATGTATCATGTAAATTTGGATCTTCATGAATTATTGTTGTTAGGGACATGATATTACAGGAGCACTTGGATTAAGTTTATGGTGTGCAGACTTTTTTTCCTAATGCTTGGATTTATCATATTATGAATCAATGATTTAGTTTATTGAAAATGCTTAATGATGAGACTTTTTACAGGATAAATTGCTGCCAAACAAGTAATCATGCTAAATCAAATGGATACTACGGTATATAAAAAAAAAAGAAGAAAAATTAAAAGAAAAAAAAAAACCGACCAAATCATAAATTCCTCTTTATTATGTTAGCATACTTCGGGTTACATCCATGATTTTTGTTCTTTGTGGGCTCATTTGATTGGGTGATGGATTTTATTTTATTATTATTATAATTTTTTTTTAGATTGGGTGATGGAATTAGAATTATAAAATAATTGTATTGTGTTGATAAAATTAAACTAATATTTGTAAATGTGATTGTCTTATGCTATCTTTGATAACTAATTTTTAACTTTAACTCGTGCATTTACACGAAAAACTATACGATTGGAAAAAATAAAAAAAGAAAACAATTGTAAAGATCATGACCTGATCGTTGAGAAAAAAGTTAAGCAAGAAAATCTAAATCTAAATATTATTAAACACTTCTTTGTATACAACGTTCGTGGTTTTTCTATCGTCAAAATATCCATCACCACAAATCATTATTTTTAGACCCCTCTGATTCGTGACTCTAGATAGTGCTACATACAACTGTCTATGACTGAATACTGGGTTCTTCAATAGTAATCCGACGCGGGACAGTGACTGACCTTGACTCTTGTTGATAGTCATAGCATATGAAACCATGAGCGGAAATTGTCTGCGTTGAAATTTGAACGGTACCCTCAAATCGGATGGTATGATTGTGAGCCTAGGAATAAGAACCTTGTCACCAGCTCTGGTACCGGTTAGAATCCTGTATTCGAGGACATGGCTGTTGAGCTTAGTGATTACCAACCGTGTACCTATTGGCATCAAAACTCGGAAAACAAAAGTATTTCATTCAAATTTGTACAAAGATAAAAGAATATGTAGATAACAAATTCAATTTTGATGAACAGTACCGTTGCACAACCCCATGGAGTGATCAATGTTTCTGAGAAGCATCACTGGAGTGCCGACCTTAAGGTGCAGTTTATGATTCGAAAGGCCAGAGCACTGGATCCCATTGAGAAATTCAGAAGTGTGAAGATCCTGAAGAGAATCATATCAAGCATCTGACTTGCACGCGGTGTCCGAACTCAAATAACTCCTTCCCTCGGATGAGTTCATCGAGCTCATGTAGTCGTTAACGGACTCAACCACATCAAGTGTGGGGGCGAGTATTGCTCTGTCCTTCAGATAGCTAAGATCGTCACCTGCACTTCTGAACATCGGGTGGGTACTCTCTACAATAGTACCAATAGGATCCCCTTGCGAGTGTAGAAGAATATCGTCGGGGATGTCGATATCGGCACAACCGTCGTTCGATCCACCGACTGTACCGTCGCCAATGTTTGCAAGCCACTCAGAGAAGCGCCTCAACTCATCGTACTCATCGCCCCCACCAAGGCTTCGAAACCTCATGTTCCGAGTTAGTCTCAGAACAATAAAATTGCGCCACAACTTGGATGAATTGATGGTGGCGTTAACTATATCGCTTCGACTGCCTTTTGGGACAACGGGGAGTATCTGTCTGAATCCCCACCTAACACAACACACTTGCCGCCAAATGGGAAATTCTTCCTCGACGAATCAACTGCTTCCATTAAGGTACGCAAGGTGTTTTCAACTTCCTAGAAGCAATATTTGTTCGTCATCGGGGCTTCATCCCAAATGCTCAACCGACATCGTATGATCAGTTCGGCCAAAGGACTCTGCTGGCTAATATCACATGTAGACCCTTCCACTGGGTTTAGTGGGATTTTAAATCGTGAATGCGATGTTCGTCCGCCGGGCAACAAAAGTGATGCGATACCACTCGATGCAACGCTCAACACAATATCACTTTTGGATCTAAAGCAGAAGACAACGCCCTCCAGACATACGTTTTACCGGTGCCGCCGTAACCATAAACGAAAAACATGCGGCCATAGGTACGGTAAACATAGTTCATTATAGAGCCATAAACATTCCGCTGCTCATCAGTCATATTGGCAACCAACTCCCAATTTTCAATAGCGAGCGCATGTCGATCGTAATTCAACTCGTCCATCACCAGTCTGTTCGTGGATGCCTCATTACGATCGACATTAGGAAAAGGCAATGTACTGTATTCGCGTAAGCTCGTACCACGTTTGCGCAAAATTTTTTCAACTTCCGCTAATGCCAGATTTTTTACTTCATCATCGTTCAGTACCATTTCTGTAAAACCAATATACAAAGTTTATAAATATAAAGACAAAAGATGAAAGAAAAAAAAATATAAGATTGTGACCATAATTGATTTGTTTACCTGGGTGCTGTAAAACCCCCCGACGATTATATAATATATCATCTGATAGGTAAGGCCAACATGATTCCCACATAAACTCCGGTTGACCGAGAGTATCAGAAGACAACAAAGTAGCAAAAAGGTTTCTCAACGAATTGGCACTCGACCACTGGCTTGCCTCGATAATCCCTTCAATATACTTTTTGTCGTCCTTAACCAGACCGAGAGAAAAACACGTGTCATGCAATGAAACGTGTTGTACTCCGCCCAACTTCATATAGACACGATGGCACGTTACACCTCGAACAACGTTGATAAGACACCGCAAGTAATATATGTCACCAGCACCAGGGGGGACGAAGTACAAACGCGCGATACAGTCACTTCCTTTTATAAGCTCCCAATTGTTGGTTTTCGAGTGCCACAAAAATCTGGTGGGTGCCTCAACGTACGTCAGTTTCCTGGCTTCGGGATATTTCTTGTTAGCTTCAATCCAAGCTAAAAATTTACTGCCGGCATTTTTATATTTCTTAACCACTTCATCGATCGGAACTTCATCGGGATAGTAGCACGGATGCTCGTTCTCGAGGTGAAAGTTCAAGCGCTCCACTGATGGGTGCTTGTATTGAATCTCAAACTCCAACAACCGCCACGCAGCCTCACAAGATGAAACATACCGACAATCATAGTACATCTTCACCTCGTCAACTGGCCTGCTAGATGACTCATCTCCATTTGACGCATGGAAGGTGTCAGTAACGCGATCGTTCCCGTTGTTCACGTACTTGAACAAATATTTTATGGACCTGGACTGGTTGCACCACTCCATATTTATGTGCGCGCCGTACATCAGAAGCAATTTTCTGTTATGGGACACTACGCATCTGTTATCCAAGGGAATGCCATTCTTTTCTATGGTCCTGCCATTATCACGACGGTTGTATCGTGGATAGCCTTCTTCGTCAAGACTCGTGGTTTCGGAGAATTTTTTTGGAAAATGTTTTGTGCAACAATCATTCGCCATGCACGGAGATTTCGGGCGAACACTTCCACAGGGGCCATGCATAATATGATCTCTAACAGCAACATAATAAAATGGATCGGTGGCTTCATCCGGTATTTCGGCAGAAATTATTTTATCTATATCATCAGTAGTCTTTATCTTGTATTCCATGGCAAGAAAAAGCAAGATATGCGCATGCGGAAGGCCACGTTTCTGGAATTGAATCGCGTAGATTGCTGCAGTAAATTCATAGTTTTGTCAAAAAATAATAAATGGCAAAAAATATAATAAAATTTATGAAGAAATCAGTTAAAAATTAGTTTGAAGCAATACCTGCATTCACATCCCTAAACATCTTGTTATGTCGAACATCCCTCATCAATGCATCCAACTTGGTCTTAAAAACACGACAAATTATATCAGGGCGATCTTCTGGATTGAGGTTCCTCTCAGCAAGTAAACGACTGATTTCGGGCCACTTCTGATTGCATCTGAAGGTTATGAAAATGTCAGGATAACCGGTCCAATGACAAATGGCCATTGCATCGTAATAGTTTTGAATCATATATCTAGCGCCACCCGTAAAGGATGACGAAAGTATGATCCGTTTGCCTTGATAACTAGGGTCCGTGTCACCATGCAACACAACGTCAAAAAATCTGCTGTACAATTCTGTTCTCAAGTTCTGCTGATTAAAACGGATGTATCTGAGCCGAGCTCCCTCTACCATTGTATAAGCGTCCACAACAAACTGTTGATACAACCTCCGAGCGGAAAGTATTGACGAAAATTTGTTGTCCCTATCGTGCATTCGATATTTGAAGAACTCCAACGGGCTGATAAATTTCCTCGACCTCTTGGTGATCGGTTTAAGGCAGGAGAATGGAATTTCCTCCCTGTAACCATCCTCACCATATGGAAAAATAATAGGATAATGGAGAGGCAAGTAGGAAGCGTTCAACTCATTGATCCGCTGCAGACGTCTGCTCTGATTTTCTACTATAATATCCCTGCTGCCCATAGCATCATCGAAATCCCCAACAACTAAGGCGGCAACTTCAGAAGTGGTGGGTAAATTATAACGCCGACCATCCTTGTTCCTTCTACTGATAAGACGCATCTTAACTTCAATTTTCTGGTGCTGGGTTCACCGTCTCACGTGCCATCCTGAACGACTTGAGCAAAACATTGTAATGATCGATCAGATCTTTTAAACCGCGAACTATATCCTTATCTAGGTTATTTCGTTCAGAACCTCTCCTAAAATAAAGATAAGTTTCTTTTGAATTAGTAAAGATGATGTAAACCGCAATGAAAAAAAAAAAAAACTTCGGGGGTGATTGGTTATGAATTCAACTAGTAAAAAACTAGTTTTTTAAACTATAGTTGATATTGGATATTATACCCACAAGGCTAAACCGGTCTATTGACTGGTCGAGGAAGTCGTATTATGAGGAAGTCAAGGAAATCAAGCAGTTAACCAGTCGACCAGAAAAGCTGTCGACCAAACTATCCTTCGACCAGATGAACGATCGAGCAGTTCAGTCGGCCTCGACAGGTCGACCACTTTGAGGACTTAACACTACACTGATCGGCCTAGCCGCAGGCGCGTGAGAGAGCCTCTAACTGAATTCAGGAGAATATTTACCCCATGTGCAGGGGGACACGTGTCGAGAATGCAGTGGTTGATAGCAATAACCACCTCTGACAGCCTACCCCATGTGCAGGAGGACACGCGTCCAAAGGATATTGGTGCAAGCGATAGTGGCGACGGCTACCTCTGACACACGCGTATTGTGTGTACGGACGGGCAGTTAGGGCAGACAGCTCATCAAATCCGGGCAGCCCTAGGTCAGGTATCTCACCCCTATATAAAGGGGGTGAGCCTTTCTTCTTCAACACGATCATTCTATTACTTACTCTTGAGAATTGATTGGATATACACTGACTTAAGCTTCGAAGGCACTTCACCGGAAAACCCCTCCGGTGTGAGAGTTTTTTGTAGGTGCATGATGTTCAACCGGCGAGAAGGAAGGCGATCATTCAAGTTCCAGCCGGTCGGGAAGTTTTGTGTTACCATTTCGCGCCGTCTGTGGGACTTTCGTTTGAGATGTTGTGTTTCAAGCTCAGCTATGGCGGACGGAATCCCCAAAAACTTGCAGTCGACGTTCGACGATGCTTGGACGATGATCAGGCCGTTTGGACAAGGCCCTCCTCTGGGTTTTTCTGGCCCACCGCAGACGCCGATCACTCCTACACCGGTCCTTCAAGGTGTGGGAGCGACGACAGCGATTCCCAGAGGAGATGCCGGCTCCAATCGTGCCCAGGAGACTCTCGCAGCGGCTGCGGTGGCGATGCCACCACCGCCACCCCAAAACCCAGCCGTGGCGCAACCAGGAGGAGCGGTAGCGCAACCAGGAGGAACGGCGGGGCAAGGAGGAACACCACCGCAAGTGGCGGTGCAAGTCCCCGGCTAGTAAGTGGTGATGACCAGACAAGAGATGCAGCAAATGGTGGCGGAAGCAGCTGCGCAGGCGGTGTAACAAGTCACAAACAGTCTCTCTCGGGCTACCACGATGCCGACTACTGTTGCGGGGTCTCGCAAAAACGTAGAGGAAGTGAATCTGGCTATGGTGGAAGCGGGTCCCCACATGATCGAGAAATGGAGAGAATGGCGGAGCAGCTGCGTCAATTGCAGGCCAAGGTGGATGGTCGAACGGAGAGATGCGCTCGAGGACACCCGTTCTCGACGGACATATTAGCAGCACCCTTGCCAACCAACTTCAAGGATACCAACTTGGTGTTCGATGGGACTTCTGCCCCGTCGAGGCATGTGAGGACGTTCGAAAATATGGCTGTGTTACATGGATACACTGACCCCGTTAGTTGCAGGGCATTTTTATCGACCCTTAGGGGAGGCACCCTCGGTTGGTTCCAGCAGCTCCCCCCAGGCTCGATTGTAGACTTCGAGGATTTCGCAGAGAAGTTGAAGAATCAATATTCGAGTGCAGTGGCT